CGGCCATTTTGAAATCAGTACTGTGGCTCCCGATATTCCGCGTCCATCTCTATATGAAATTCGAAAATTACGCCTAAAACCATGCTCCAAATTCAATGCTACTTTAATAAAGTGATCTTTAAAAAATTTAATTTTCAGTTGGTTCTATGAAATTGTTCTACATAAAGTTCGTTGCATACGAAATCTTCCATCCTACATATGTACATATGTATATTAATTCAATTACCTCGTTTATTTTCCAGCTAATGCAGCCAAAACCAAAGATAACAATGATGTACAAGTTGGCACGAGCAGCAGCTTCAACGCTGAAACGTTAAAAATACGCCTGCTAACGGGCCTTGTGTATGCGTGTGAGGTTCGGGATATGGTTATGTGTTTGAATCGCGAGTATCATCTGGTATGCGAACGCTTTTGGAAATCAGAGCCAGCCACATCAAAGTCTGAGCATTCGCAAATGTTTTACTATCAGGAGGTGAGTTCAATGGACTGATGGCCGTTTCTTTCAGTACATTTTAATTTTTTTAAAACTCTTTCAGCAATTCGCCATAATAAGAGATGCAAACTTTTTGAATCGTGTCAAGCGTAAGCATTTGAAACTACAGATTTGTCAACGCCCTATTAGCGCAGCCGCAGTTGATAATAATGGCAATCCAAAAATGCCCCTGGAACCAGTAGGCGTGGTACTATTGCCACTACATCAATTTTTCATAGCATTCAGCAATGAAATGATGGCAAATCGTTTGGTTACCGAAAAGGTATGTGCCATTAATTTGTGTTTTTGGGCTATATAGCAAAAAAAGCTTTATTTCAAATCTCATTATTTAGCTTCCCGTTATTTCCATTGACGCTTGGGCACCTATTTTGGGTCAGAATGGCGAAAAGTTGGGTGAAATTAAGTGTCTGCTTGCTATTGGTAGCGAAGAGCAGATAAAAAATCTTAAATTACAACGTGGCTTTCGCCCTTTACACGCCGACATGTTTAGCAGTATTGCCATAGACGCTGCAAGAGAGCCACTCTATCCAAGTCTTCTCATACCACCCGAAGATATTAATGCAGTAATTAAAGGAGCAAACACACCAAAAAGTATTCGGCATACAGTAAATTTGATGGAAATGTTGCAAGAAGCTTTGGAACAAACGCAATCGTCACCGCAAACGTCTGCGGCGTCTTCAATGTTATCACTACCGACGCCAAATTCAATGTCGTCTGCGGCGGCTACCCCGCAACAGCAGCAATGGCAGCCCAAAGTGTGTTTACAGGAACGCACTTTCCAATTTGAGTTGTATATTGATTGTGCGGCTTCATTGCCGCTAAATCCTTCCGCTAAGGGTAAGGGTGGAAAGAATGCATCTAAGCGTTCAGCATCCAAGCGTTTTCCAGCAGGCGAGCCACCAACCACATACGTTACATTCCAAGCAGATGAGTGTTCGGGCAGTAGCGGACCTTATAAGTCACATGAGGGGAACGTTTATGCCACAGATGTTGTTGAGCGCAGTACGCATCCGCGTTTCACGCAACGCTTTTTGGTCACTGTGGGCGCTGAATATTTAGAAAATGTAAGATAACAGCTTTCTTGAGACCCGAAAAATTAAATTAACGATTGTTTTCTGTATCACATTTTCAGCCTAAGCAAAATTTCATTTTGAAGCTATGGAAAAAGGCAAATGTACCGCCGACTGGCAATGGCAGTAGTGGCTCCGGTACGACTGCACGTTTGGTACCCAAGCCAATTGATGATGCCATCATAGGTTTTACCGCACTAGACTTGAGCGTTTTTTTGCGTGGCATGCATATTGGTGGCACTTTCAATGTGATCGATTTTAATGGACGCATAAATGGACAGTTGCAGTTGAGTGCCAAGCCAATGGAAGGTTGGTATGTTAAGTTTCTCGCACAACGTATATATAAACATCCACAGCCGCAAAAGGAAACACAACCTAGACCAGACCTACAGTTTATTAACCCTGCTTCTGTTTCTGCTCCTGCTAAAAACGCACAATGCGCTGTTGGCGCTTCCATTGACAATGTCATTGAACAATTTGGAAACTCACTCGATCTCACACACTTAAATCTTAGTCAAGCCGTTAAGCATAAATTTAATGAGCTGGAGGGTATTTCCAAGCGCTTGCGCACACGTCTTAGCAGCGTGGCTGGTGAGCCATTGCCGGAGCAGTTCGATGCGGCCGGTTTGAATGATTGGCGACCGTTGAATGATGTGATTGGAGAAGAGTTACCAATGGATATTGAATTAAATGAATTTGAGCGCGACATTAATTTACCACCGTTGGATGCTGTGACTGAAATGGTAAATGCATATGAAGTGAATGAATTCGAGCGTGATATTGATAAATCCGCTAATGCGGCAGGTGATGATGACCCCAAGGGCGTAGACGATAATGAATTCGAAGTGGCCGTTGATGATAATAAAGGTGATATAAAAGAAAATTTGATCTCAAAGACGGTGCCCGGCGCAGCCGATCCCATTGTTGAATAGTGGCGACATAAACGCCGGAAAATAACTAAGTCAGCAGCAGCAACAGCAGCGATGAAAATAAGAAATACTATTACAATTAAACGTATGCAACACACATGTCAGTCTATAGCACTCTTAGCATCACAAATAACAGTTTTAGCACCATTACTACTAACCCCACAACAACCACCGACCGTGAAGGCATCACCCCCAATCCAGCTCATCATTAAAACGCTCCTTGCATTTTCAATAAAGGCTCAATAGTACTTAAATAAATTTATGCATCGTAATAATAAGTAAAGCGCAACTTTTGCCAATTTTTATTAATAATATTACTAAATGTGTACGCGTATGGCTATTGCAACTACTATATTTATGGAAGTTTTAAACGATCTGCGATTCTTAATAGCTAAGCGAAATTGTTATTACTTTCTCCCCTCCTTGTCTTTATAAATAATGTATTTCACCAAATTAGCATTAATTATTTACTTTATGAAATATACATACATAAAAATGTAGTTACCGTATATACATACATACATACATACGTTTAAGTATTGAGTTATATACTAAATTTCGGGAGAAAAGAAACCACGTATTTATAAATGAAGTATTTAGTTACACTAAATTATTTTTATTATTATTACTATTACTGTATGTACAATGTAATCATTGAAAATTCCAAAAGAGTAGAAATGCAAGGCATTCGATTATCAATTAAAAATCGTGAAAGTGGAATAAAAAACGAAAATTCTTATCCAAGCCCATAAACAGAATCTTTGTGTATAAACTAGAAATGAAAATCAAAATAAATTCAATAAAATGAAATGTTACTGGTTTTATGTGAAATCAAAAGCGTTTTATATAAAGTACAAGCTGACCCGGCAAACTTCGTTTCGCCCAATTACATTTTTGATTGAATTATTTTCGAACATTCACGATTTCAACCGAAATTTGTTCTTTTTTTTACCGAAAATTAGCGTATGTTAATAATTTCAATTATAGATTGAATGGAAGACTCTTCGAATTCAATATGATGTTATATTTAAGAGGAGAACTAAAATCAAGTATTACACCCCTATTGCGAGTGTCGACTTGTAGTAGATAAACGAATATTTGTCGATTATCGATTACCCATGGTATTTTGAATGTCGTTTTCTCATTCAATAGGAGAGTGTGAATATTTTTAGCGCTCATCCTCATGCAAACAAACTGATGAAGGATGATCGCCTAAAAACTATTCACAGTCGCTTATCGAACGAAGAATCGAAATTCACAATACCATAGAAAGTCGATAATCGAATAATAGTAGTTTATCTACTATTAGTCGACACTCGCAATAGGCTTGTTAATTTCATTTAAATTTAAAAATAATAATAAAATAATGATTGTATTTACTTTAAGCTGCATGATACACAAGATTTTTATTAACTCGGGACGTAACTATGTAATATTGATGCGCCTAAAAGATGCAGCGATTTCTATTCTCAAGTTACATACCTGATGACAGTACGAATGGCAATTATAATTAGGAGGTTTTAGTTTTTTAAAATACAATTTTATTTGTTTTCTGCTCCAGAGCGTAAATGAAGAATGAGGATGGTTTCCCAACTCAGGAACACACATATAGCTGACCGTGTGAAAAGCATGACATTCCAGATTTACGCCACACACATTGCGCGACTACGCAAATACCCTGCAAAAATCGTTGGACCATGTAGTCTATTTGTGGTATATTGGAGTACTTACAAAAGTGCTCCTCTGTCATGCTGTAGCGGACCAACTCGTGTCTCTGCACCAGCTTATTGTTACCCGATCACTGCTCGTGTTTTAACGACATGTGAATGAAGTTAAGCATTTGAAAGTACATTTGCATGTCTGGCTGTAGCTGAACGTGTAGAGATGCTAGCTGTTAGTTCTTAGCTCCCAGCATGTTCGGGTTCGAATGTCGTCAGAGGCAACATGTAATTTTTAATTTTTGTTTCTGGTTTTTATTAATTTCAAAAAAAGCATCTGCGAAGTGAAGAACAAAAGCGTGTACAAACGAAAAAATATAACGATAATGTCATTGGAGTATGTTGGGAGTAGTTTTGTGCTACTCTGATGTAATGCAGAGATGGAGTACATGGTCCTGCCCTAGGACATCGCAATGTTAATTGGACCATATTTTTTATATGAATTGTGGTTAATTTTAGAGTACTCCTTGGACCTTCGGGAGTACTCTTTACATGCATGCATGGAGTAGTCGCGATTTTTGCAGGGTAAGTATCCACGATCCGTTTTTATATACATACGTATATAGATAAGTTCAGTGGCAACACATTTTTGAACATTGCTCGTTCAAAGTGTTTTTGAACAAATTTCAATAATTTAGTTCTTACTGTTTAGAAAGGTGGCGGATAGCGCTATTGAACATATAACTTAATCAAAGATTTTTTAAATACTTTTCATTTGATACCCATATTGTAATATTTAGTTTATCTTATTCATTTAATAGAAGTAAATTTTTGAAATCGGTGGCAGCCCGCCTCAAAAAAATTTTCAATAGTCAACTTTTTTGAGCCCCTCTAGTTTGATACCCATTTTGTATATTTAATTCCGCCTGAGAAACGTTGGCAGCTCTGAAAAAAAATGATAAAGTGGAATGGCCGATCAAAATTTTGCTAAATCCGGTAATGCACTACCGGAATTCTTGGAAATGCACTACCGGAAGTACAGGGTGATGAACGCGGGTTCTCACCCTCCACTTCCGGTTGTGCATTTCGCCCCATATAATATCCCATTATTATTGTTTATGTTTTTGACATTTTCACTTATAGAAAAATTTCCCTACATTCAGTAGAAAACGTCAATCGGAGGCGATTTGATTATTTTTTGTCGTTTGCCCCGGAATCTGTTGCAATTTTGTTAATTTCTTTTTTTTTATATGGCCCCAACTAGAAGGTGTCCAAATTAGGTGGGTCAACGTGTAATACCCCAATACGAAAGTACTAGAATAAAGTGAAAAATGTATAAATGTGATTAATTGCGCATGCATGTATGTATATGGATTTTAAAGCAAACTCGCATTTTGTATTTTTCCATTGTTTAAAATAAGAAAAAATGCAAAAACATGAAATAGATAACGAAGAAATGAAACGCTGGACAAGTGCATGAATTCCGTAAAAACCGAAAGAAAAATTGGAACAAGAAATTACCACAGCAAAAAAGTTGGTTTGTATCAAAGAAAAAGTAAATGCTATGAAGTGTAGTAGTGCAGAACAGTGAAAATTAAATACCTTATATACGCGCATGTGAAACAAAATACTGCAAAATAACGTTCAACCATAAGAAGTTGGGCGTTAATAAAACCATATCGACCGACAGACGCCATTCATTGCAGCGTTTTCGGTTCCGCAAAGTATCATTCGTTGGACGACCAAGCTCTGCTGATTTGGAGAAAACCAACCATATATTTGCCTTTATACAAATCTATGGATGCATGTAAAGCAGTAATCGTTTCCATTTCCAAAAATTAAGTAAGTTAATGGCGCCACCTCGAAGAGGTCAGTTAATCATCGCTGCAATATTTTTCGTCTATATTCTTTGTACTTATGTATTTATGGTGTCGTTGAACGCTGATACTTAACTGCAAGCATGTATGCATTGGGGTTTTCCAATTTCTACTGAATAAGAAATAATCGGAGAGTGGCAAAGTTGTGTGGCGTTTGCCATTATTGCACTTTCTTAAGGCGCACATTTGTGATGACGCTAAGCAGTAGCGGCTGAGTGGCAGTCTCAAGTATCACGCAACTACATACTTCTCTACTTGCTTTGTCAGCAGTGGTAATTAGTTTCACCAAGGTGTGGTTGTATGTTGCGTATTGGGCCAACACTACTGCACCCGCCAGCATTTTGTGATGCCAGACATGCTTTGCTTCTACATGCATCTAAAGACATTGCTACTACGATTCTATTAATACATGTTATTAGCTACGTAACCGCTGACGTGCTTTGCTAGTATTTTATTCCAAATTGATTTATCTGCTGCTTCGCCACTTACCTCCTAGTTTATCCATGTTTATCCTTACATGCGTGTCTAGGTGGATTCTTTTCTATATAATAGGGAATTTACATGATTTAACTTTCACAGGTGATTAGTTGAATCAAAAGATGGCCGTAAGTAGGCAGCTGGCCATAGAGCCCTGATTAATCGGCCGATGGCTAGACTAGTATCGGTATCGGTGGTTTTTGGACCGATTCTTGAATGAGGTAATGTTATTTAGTTATTTGAATATGTTTTTCTTTTGTTATTATAAAATATTATGAAAGCATTCTTTCTTGAAGTGAATTTACATACATATATCCAAGATTTAATCGGCAAAGAATCGGCCGATGCTTCGGCCGGTTAAATCCTCGATATAAATTCATTTCAAGAACAAATGCTTTTATAAACATTTATAATAACTAACGAATAACACAATCAAATAACTAAACAACATTACCTCATCCAAGAATCGGCCAAAAACGGCCAATGGCGATTTATATGTATGTATATTTGGTGGGCGCGATTTCGTTATAAGGGTGGTCCCACACTACTTTTGCTTAACTCCGAACATTGGATCATGAAGAAACTATCGGTTCTACTATATTTGCATATAATCGTTGAAACCGTTTGTTTTTTGTTCAAAAATAACTTGTTTAATTTTGCAATAATAAACTTATGTATATCCCATTATGCCAGCCAAGCTGGGTTTAAAAAATATTATATTGACTCATTTTATTCTATTTTTTAGACTTGTATAAGAACTTGGCGCTGTGGTGTAGTGGCAAGCGGTGTGCGCTTTCACACATCAACACCTGGGTTCAAGCCCTGGTCAAAGCAAGATCCCAAAAAAGATAGAAAAGGTTTATTCTTAACAGCGGTCGTCCCTCGGCAGGCAATGGCAAACCTCCGATTGTATTTCTGCCATGAAAAACAGCTTCTCATAAAAATACAATCGCCTTTCGGAGTCGGAGTAAAACTGTAGGTCCCTTCGCTTTGTGTGACAACATCAAGGCGCACGCCACAAGTCGGAGGAGAAGCTCGGCCAAACACTAACATATGTGTAAGCGCAAATCTATTATTATTATTATTATTATAAGAAATTGATAAAAGATCGCTCAATAAAAGCGCGATAAATTAATGACGTAAAATTCGTTTTTAAAGGCACTTAAAGATAGTATTTGACTCCTTCGGTCACAAACGAGTAGTTAATATTTTGATATGCGGTAAGTTGCCGAAAAATGGCGCATGGCTATGTAAATGTCATAAATATTTGTATATCTTAAGCTTTTTCGCAGATAAGCTTAACAATGCTTAGGCTTCGTAATGCTATTGCTAGTGACTTTAAGCTAAAAATCTATAAATTCATTTAATATTTTGAGCAAAAATGCTAATTATGTATTTCCCAACAACTTTAAACGACGTACATCAGCTACACTACAATCATTGTAATTTTCCTGCGCTCATTTATTGTACCCACTCGAAACATTTACGCTTGGGCCGGTTTTAATCGGCATTTGCATTTCAAAATTCTTAAGTTGACGTGAATTGTCGCAATAGCAGCATGACATTATCGCCAACAAAAACAATAATATTAAAAAAATACAAATCTTATCAGCAGCAACTGGATTTCATTCAACAAATCTGTTGGAAGTGTGTATAAAAATGTATGAACTGCAGACATAATTTTTGTGCAACTCCACCGTTATGGTTCGATAATAATAATAATAATAGATTGGCGCTTACACATATGTTAGTGTTTGGCCGTGCTTCTCCTCTGTCATGTAGCGTGCGCCTTGATGTTGTCACACAAAGCGGAGGGACCTACAGTTTTACGCCGACTCCGAACGGCGATTGTATTTTTATGAGAAGCTGTTTCTCATGGCAGAAATGTACTCGGAGGTTTGCCATTGCCTGCCGAGGGACGACCGCTGTTAAGAAAAAACCTTTTCTATATTTTTTGGGATGTTGCTTTGACCAGGGCTTCAACCCAGGTGCTGATGTGTGAAAGCGCGCACTGATTACCACTACATCACAGCGGCAATTTCTTATGCAAGTCTAAAAAATAGAATAAAATAAGTCAATATAATATTTTTCAAACCCAGCTTGGCCCAGGTGCTGTGGAATGGAAGCGTGCACTGCTTACCACTACACCACAGCGGCCGACGGTGCGATACTTTTCATATTTTATTGACTTTATTTTGTATTTTTGCAGAGAAAAATACTAGTTGTGAACTAGAGTACTACCAGTTCGCTTTTCCGCTCAACCATTTCGTGTTCTATCTTTTTTCCATGGTATTTTTAACACGGCGATGCCCTACGAAATTTCAATTGTCTGGCAACAGCATATACCAGTTAGCAGTAAAAAAATAGTAGTCCAATAGGTTTCGAAATAAAACAAGTTTGAGACCTGTTAAATAAATATAAATAAAAATATCCAAATCAACGTTCTAAAATATTTTATTTCATATAAAAATTCTATACAAACCTAGCTTTTTTCTTAAAATGTAGCGTTTGAATTTAAATGCCGGATCAAAGAAATACAGTTTTATTTCTACTCCTTCGATAACCAATAAAATAAATAGATATTGCTATACACACTTGTGGTCATAAGTGGGCGGGGCCACGCCCATTATCCAAAAATGTACAATAATCAAATTTCCTGCTAGGTTATTATTGCAATCGGCTATTTTGAGTGAATCAGCTTCAATAATTACTGATCTATAGCAAAAAAAAACTGCATCAATGGTAGTCGCTAATTTGGTTGTTGGAACATAACAATAACCATTTCCAATGAAAATTTTTCTTTCACAAATTTTGTCAGTTCATCATAAATGTATTCGGCCAGCGAAAAGTTTACGTTGAAATCTCTTGCGAAAATTACATGTCGATCATAACAGTCTACTTATTTTAATATTCATCTTCATCTTCATCTTCATCTTCATCTTCATCTTCATCTTCATCTTCATCTTCATCTTCATCTTCATCTTCATCTTCATCTTCATCTTCATCTTCATCTTCATCTTCATCTTCATCTTCATCTTCATCTTCATCTTCATCTTCATCTTCATCTTCATCTTCATCTTCATCTTCATCTTCATCTTCATCTTCATCTTCATCTTC